TAAACCCTAAACCCTCAACCCTAAACCCTAAACCCTAAACCCTAAACCCTAAACCCTAAACCCTAAACCTAAACCCTAAACCCTAAACCCTAAACCCTAAACCCTAAACCTAAACCCTAAACCCTAAACCCTCAACCCTCAACCCTCAACCCTAAACCCTAAACCCTAAACCCTAAACCCTCAACCCTAAACCCTCAACCCTAAACCCTAAACCCTAAACCCTAAACCCTCAACCCTAAACCCTAAACCCTAAACCCTCAACCCTCAACCCTCAACCCTCAACCCTAAACCCTAAACCCTCAACCCTCAACCCTCAACCCTAAACCCTAAACCCTCAACCTAAACCCTCAACCCTCAACCCTCAACCCTCAACCCTCAACCCTCAACCCTCAACCCTCAACCCTCAACCCTCAACCCTCAACCCTCAACCCTCAACCCTCAACCCTCAACCCTCAACCCTCAACCCTAAACCCTAAACCCTATACCCTAAACCCTAAACCCTAAACCCTAAACCCTAAACCCCTAAACCCTAACCCCCAAACCCTAAACCCTAAACCCTATACCCTAAACCCTAAACCCAAAACCCTAAAACCCTAAACCCTAACCCCTAACCCCTAAACCCTAAACCTCTAAACCCTAACCCCTAAACCCTAAACCCTAAAACCCTAACCCCTAAACCCTAAACCCTAAACCCTACACCCTAAACCCTAACCCCTAACACCTAAACTCAAAACGCTAAACCCTAACCCCTAACCCCTAACCCTAAACCCAAAACCCTAAACCCTAAACCCAAACCCCTAATCCTTAATCCCTAAACCCCAAACCCAAAACCTCAAACCCCAAACCCCAATCCCAAACCCAAACCCCAAACCCCAAACCCCAAACCCCAAACCCAAAATCCTAAAACCCTAAACTCAAAACCCTAAACCCCAAACCCTAACCCCTAAACCCTAATCCTTAAACCCTAGCACCCTAGACCCAAGACCCCAAGACCCTGCACCCTGCACCCCAAGACCCTAGACCCTAAGCCCTAGCACCCTAAGCCCTAAGACCCTAAGACCCTAGACCCTAGACCCTAAACCCCAAACCCGAAACCCCGAACCCCGAACCCTAAAGTCAAAAACCGTAAACCCAAACCCCAAACCCCAAACTCCTAACTCCTAAACCCTTTCTTTTTCTTTTTTTTCTACTGGTTCGGTTTTTTTATTTTTTGATTTGATTATTTTTTTTTCCTTTTATTTTTTATTGTTTGATACTTTTTGCTTTTTTTCCCTTTTAATTTTTTGGCATCTTTCTTTCCTTTTTTTTAGGAATTGTTTTATTATCTTTTCCTTTGTTTCGTTCTTAAGTTTTTTTGCTTGTTTGCTTTTTTTTTTCTTTTTTTAATTTTTTTTTGTTTTCTTAGTTTTTCTTTTACCTCTTTATTTTTTTCCTTTTGTTTTTTTTTCTTTTTTTTTTTTATTTATCGTTTCTTGAGTTTTTTTCTTGTTTGGTTGATTTTTAAGTTTGTTTTTTTTATTCAACTTTTGATTTTTTATTTTCTATTTTTTTGATTTTAATATTTGCTTTGTTGTTTTTTTTTTTGGTCGTCGATTTATTTTATTTTATTTTTATTTGTTTTAATTATTTTTTTCTTTTCATTTTTTTATTGAAATTTTTATTTTTTATGCTTCTTTCTTTATTTCTTTTTTATTTTTTTTGCATATTTCTTTCGTTTTCTTAGGAATTGTTTTATTTTCTTTTTTTGGCTTTTTTTTATTTTTTATTTTTCATTTTTTTATTTTTTTTCCTTTTACTTCTTTATTTTTCCTTTCGTTTTTTTTTTCTTTTAGTTTTTTATTTTCATTTTCTTTTGTTTTTCTTTTTTTTTTGGGTTTATTTTTATATTTTTCTTTTTATGTTTTTTTTTTGTTGTTTTATTTTTTATTTTTTATTATTTTGCATTTTTACATTTGCTTTGTTTTTCTTTTCTTGTTTTTCTTCGGTTTTTTTCATTTTTTTTCATTATATGTTTTTTATATTGTGGGTATTTTTTTCTACTGTTAGCTTTTTTGCTTCTTGTTTTTCTTTTTTCGATTTTGTGTTTAATGTTTTTTTATTTTTATTTTTTTATTTTTTAATTATGTTAATGTTGTTCACTGTTTTTCGATTTTTTCTTTGGCTTTTTGCTTTTTATCCTTTTTTACTTCTTTCTCGGTTTTTTTGCATTCTGGTTTTTTTATTTTTCAATTTTCTTCTTTTCCATTTTTTTCTTCTTATTTACATTTTTTTTCCTTTCCTGCTTTATTTTTTTTCTAAGTTTTTTTTTTGCTTAATCTTTTCTTTTTGGATTTTTTCTTTGTTCTAGTATTTTTATTTTCATGTTTGGTTTTTTTTAATTGTTTTTTTATTGTTCTTTTCTATTTCTTCTATTGTTTTTTATTTTTGCTTTTTTCTTTTCCATATTTCTTTTTCGTTTTATTTTTTTTATTCCCGTCTTTTTCTTTTTTTTCCTTCATTTTTGTTTTTTTATTTTTTTAATTTTTTATCCAAACCGAAATCCAAGTCCAAAAACCCCTAAACTCTAAACAAAAATATTAATTCATTCTAATAAATGCATACAAATAAATTTTTGCAAATTAACATTTGAGTGAGATGGGTATGATTGCGAATCCCATTACATGCGGCGTCAATTCTTCGATAGATGCGAGGTGTTGAAGACCCTTGTAGTTGAGAGATTTTAGATACCAAGAGAACTGATTTCAAGACGAAAAGGAATGGAGTGATTGCAAATCCCAATGCAAGTGGCCTTCGTTGATTTGTTGCAATCGGTGACGCGAAAGTGATTTTAATTTGGAGAGCAAACCCCTTTTTGGAGGAGGGAATTCCTGATGCATTCTCTCAGTAAGGGACTTCAATTTTCTGCAATCCAATAACCAAACAATTTCGAGAGCAATCGTAGATTGACAACGAATGAAGGGATGTAAAATCACCAAGAGGTCCCGCGACCAAAATAAGTGATTCTACATCTTTACAACTCCAGATGCTAAGCTTCTCTAACTTGGGAAACAACCCAACCTGCAAGCACTAAAGTAATTCACATTTACTTATTTTAATTTCTTGTCAAAAAGTCGACAAACAAGGAACACTCATTTGCTCCATTCCCTTTGATAAGGAATCTCTATTAACTTCAAGATGCAACTTTCCAGTACACAATACCCATGCACTTGTACGAGTCATGAAACAATAAATGTCAAAGAAATACAAAATAAGAAGTGAGATTGGGAGCCACTGAATTTTAAAACGAAAAGCTTTGGGCATTATTACCTGCGATGTAAGGAGTAGCTGTCAGTTTTCTTTTTCCTTACAAAACCTTGCTTTCTTCTCCCTAATACCTGCATATTGTTAGAATGGATAAAACCGATTAGCATAAAAATAAACCCAAAATAACAGTTCTTTATGCAAGCCCAGGAAATGCGGCGTACGTGGCAACATGCACAGTGAACTTTCCCTGTACAAAATCATTCAAAGTTTTGTCCCTTTGATGCTGAGATATACCTCCATGCAACGTCGCGGAAGCTATGCTGTGTATCAATGCCGTAGAGACTTCATCACCATCTCGGTTGGTCTGACTGAAAATAATATTCTCCTTGCCCCTTGCATAGACCTAAATATAATGGCAAAGTTCTCTGTACTTTAGGAACAATAGTTATCTCTCATTCTGAAATCACTTGGACCAGTAATGAATTGAATTATCACGACAGTAATTCATAATGACCGAAACAATAATGCATTCAATAGTCAAAAAATTACTAACAATCTAAATATGTTATTATACAAGACAAAAGCTAGGAGTCTATTTAAGAAGTCCTTACATCGTTTGAAAAACAACTCGCACCACATCCACCTCGCTTGTCTTCCTCGTCAAGGGAATGACTGGAGTCGCCTAATGTATGTCATCACCCAGATTTCGACACATTTCTTTGGTTTGGTTAAAATGTAAGTACACTAAACAACCAAAAAAACTTTATAAAAGTAAGATGCATGACGCTGTTTAATTATGAGAGCTGGGAGGGAGAGAAAGAAGCATGAAGTGAGGCTAAGGAGGAACCTGGAGGTAGGAAAGAAGCTGTAGTTGGTAAAGAGATCAAAGTTATTGAAGATCAAAAGAGACCTCTGCGATTAGAATTGAAAATAACAAGTAAAAGAAAATGAAGATGGTGACCAAGTTGGTCATAGACCAGATCGAATAAGAAGATAAGTAGGGCATGTATGAATAAGAGATATGAAGTGTTTTTTTAATGGTAAAAGAGAGGAGACAGATAGATGTTTATTTGAATTTGGAATTCGGGGAGAAGAAGGTTCGTGGGCGGGATATTTGGGCGGGATAGTTGGGACTTGGGTGGGATGTAGATGTGACGGCATGCAGTTGTCTACCTCGACGATGGCAATGTAGCGCTGGCAAACACTGTACTGTAAGGGATCAGGCACGCAAGGTATCTAAATGAATTTGAAATATCATTTACTTCATTTTCACACGTGTAGACACTTCCATGCTTAATGGACCCACCCATACTGAAAAAGTTATAGGCCAGCCATTATAGATGATGACTACGTTACCGCTGTCTGAACCCACCGTGCCTTGTGGGATGGGTGGTGAGGTGGTGCTTATTCATCCGAACCTCTTTTATTATGGAGGATGACTAACTTAGTTACGGTTCATAAAATGCTAAGGGTGTCTTTAAGACACTTAACTCATCGTTAAATACTACATAATAGATAAATTGAATTTCAAAATTTTCATCTGAACACTTTCCCGAGGTAATAATCATAATGTTTTATTACTATAGATGAATTTTAATTTCTGAATTACATTCTTATAATATTTCAAAAAACTTAATAACATTTATTTTTACTTATAAAAAAGTTATGCCATTCATTAAGTCAGAATTCAACAAACAAAACTATATAATTTATTGAGTTTATAATACAATATTTTGTGGATCTGTCGTATTTGTTTGATTATTATAATATTTAAATATTAATAATAACTATAAATAAATAATATCTTAACGATTTCTCTCAATCTACCAAATCTGGAACATATTATTATACAATATTTTTTCCACTTTTATTTCCGTTGCTTCACTTTGCAAATTCAAACCATGAGCACATTTAACCATAGTGTCAAGCCGATTGTGTCATGCATTATCAAGTCTCAAGCTAGCCCAACCAATTTTCAACGTATAAAAATCGAGCCTCCTTTTATGTCGTGCAAGTGGCAATGACGTTTCCTACTGGCGGTCATGCCAAGCACGTTCAACCGTCATTGGAAAAATACAAAAATATTTTGTACAAGTTATCGAAATTAATTCCTCACACGTTCATCCTATAAAGAATAAAAAAATCAATTAAGCAGGACTTTTAATCAAATAATCAACAGAGTTAGAATTACTTTAACAATTATAGTAACCCATATATAAAGGTATTCTGGGCGAAATAATTGACTAATGATGTTTAATTAATTTTTTTAAAGATGAATTAATCATTCTACTTCTTATAAATTAATTGGGTAGTCCTATTTGTTTTACAAACAACTTATTTAGCTTTTATATTTTAAAATTTTCTTGTAATTTAATTATTTTTATTTTTTAATTTATTTTGATTTTTTGTTTTAAGAAAGTAAAATAAATAAAATTATGTTAATATATATAAACTGAAATGGGTCATTTATGATCAAATAAAAGATAAGGTTTAACTTCTTATTTTTGTAATTTGCTTATTCTATTTTTTTATTTTAATCATTTTTATTTGTTTAATTTTCGAATTTATTTGTGTACAGTATAAGAGGATGTCAAGAGTTTATATCATTCTATTATTATTAAAAAAAAATTACTATTATGCATTATTTTGTGACCATCTGAATTAAAAAAAATTTCAATCAAGCAATTCGTATAAAACTTAACAAGACATTCAACAGGGTAATTTATCTTTATTTTAAAGTCTAAGTTAAACGGCTAAAATTACTAATTCTGAGGGCGGAAGCGTCGCTTAGGTAAGGATTCCACACCCTTATGGCCCTAAATGCTGAATTTTTAAAGTGATTGTAATTTGAAGGGGTGACAAGACTCAATTTCTGGACAAAAAGATATTCTCAAACCGTCAAGGAAGGAGGGAATGCATGCTCCCAGGCAATGACTGCAACCTTGTGCAATGATATCTACGCCGCCCAAATCATGTGTAAACACAAGTTGCCATCTTTTCCTACCAAACATACTTTTTTCTTGAGTTCTGTGTCACGATTTATTGGTTTGCTGGAATAATAAAAAGTCTCCTTGACGAGAACTTAGTAAAATATCTTCAATAATGCTTAGATATGCGTGTCTGATTGCCATTTCTTTTTCAACATTCATACAGATCAGTATTTTCATATGTTTTATATCCTGACAAGATTTTTTTTTTCTTTTTATGGCCATTTTTTTTTTCAACATTCATACAGAACTTAGTAAAATATTTTCATATGTTTTTATCCTTTGACCATAACTTAGTAAGATAGCTTCAGTACTGCTTAGAATGCGTTTCTTATGGCCACTTCTTTTTCAACGTTCATACATACTAGTATTTTTACATGTTTTGTATCCCTAACAAGTTTTTCTATTCTTTTTCCTTCTTTTTTTTTTTTTTTGCATAGGGATTATCCTTTACTACAACTTATTAAGATAACGTCAGTAATGCTTAAGTTTGCATGTTTCATGGTGCAATTAGATATATATATATATATATATTTTTTTTTTTTTTTTCCTGTGCATGTGTGTACTGTAGTAAAACAATACCCATGAAAAATAACGAGGGCTAAAATACAAAAAAATTTTATGTTAGGTTTTCAACTTTATTATCCAATACCCATTATACATGTGCTGGTTGAAAACAAAATTACAATAATTTCAATTAGGAATATAAGTCTTATATTGAGTAAATTATAAATTAGTCTTTTTATTTTTCAAAATAAATTAATTTTTTTATTTTAAAAACTATTTATTTAATTTTTTATATATTTGTTATGCTTTTTTTAAATTTCTTTTATTTTAAAAAAAACGTTAAATTAAAATAGAAAAGTGAAATAAAAAAATATTATGAAAACAATGATGATAATAAAATATTTTTAAAATATATTAATATTACATTAAACATAATTAAATTAATTAATTTTTTAAATAAAAAATTCATTCATTTATCAAAACTATTATCCTATATACTAAAACAAAATGTTTTTTCACCGTAGCAATAAACGAGTGTCAATCACTGTTCATTGTTACGGTGTTTTGTTTTTTTTATAATTTTCATTAATCGTTCCCCCCCCCAAAACCGTTACTTGTTCATTTGAACAAGTAAACGACTTCTTTTTTTTTTTGTAAACATTGAATTTTTAAAAAATTCCGCCCATTTACTTGTTCACATGAACAGTAAACGGCTTGCATCCTTTTTTTTTCTCGAACATTGAATTTTTTTTAATTTTTATTTCTTAATAGTATTTGGTGTTAAAATTTTAAAAGAACCAACAATTAATTAGGTGTTAAAATTTTAAAGAAACCAACAATTTATTTCCTTTATTATTTATTTTTAAAATTAAAAAATATATATAGTTAAATAAAAAAATTTTAATTATTTTTTATCATAAAATAGATTATTAAATTGAAATAATTTTTCTAAACGATTTTATATATTTTATCCAACCCGCAAGCATAGCGCGAGTAAAAAATCTAATACTATATACTAAAGAAAAACTATTTTTCATCGTATCAATGAACGAGTGTTAATTATTGTTCATTGCTATATTACTTTGGCTTTTTTTGTTTTTTAAGTTTTCATTTTTTTTTTTTTTGCCAGCACTCTGCTGCCCTTTCCCCTCTCCTTTTTTTTACTTGTTTATTTTTCATTTGAATGGTAAACGGCTTGCCCTCTTTTTTTTTTTAATTTCCGTCCGTTTACTATTGACATAAACGATGAACTAGCTGGCCTCCTTTTTTTTCCCCTAAACATTGAATTTTTTTTAATTTTAATTTTTAAATAATATTAGGTGTTAAAATTTTAAAAGAACTAGCAATTAATTACGTGTTAAAATTTTAAAGAAATCAATAATTTATTTGCTTTATTATTTATTTCTAAAATTTAAAAACACAAATAAGAATATAGTTAAATATAATTTTTTTCATTTAAAAATGATAATTATTTTTTATCATAAAATATATTTTTAAACTGAAATAATTTTTCTATATGATTTTATATATTTTATCCAATCCGTAGCGTAACGAGGTTAAAAAATCTAGTAAGTACTACTTTAAATTTGCTATCTCATATAAACTCACATCTTGTCCGTTAGTTCTCAATCCATGATTAGACCACTTGTACAGAGTGGGTAGGTATATATACCACACCAAATTCGGGGAAGAAAAATGTAAAATCACAAGCCGATATGTTTTTTTTTTTGTCAATTTTTGTTTTATGATTATAAGATTATATATTTTATATTGGTTTAGTGTATTTAGAAAAAAAAATCTTTTTTATATTTTGATCGTAAGATTTAAACCCATAAAATTAAAACATAAAATATATCTTTTTAACTACTACATCAATTTCAAAATTACATATTGGATCCCGATATTTAAAAAATGAATAATAGAACATGTTAATATATACACTTACATCATGATTAATTTTGCTAGAAGAAGGGAGGGATAATGACATAAATGGATTTACAAACTGAAATGATTTAACTTGTTTCACTTTTTATAAAAGAAAAGGTTTAACTTGTTATTTTGTAATTTTCTTACTCTATTTTTTGGATTTTAATCATTTTTATTTGATTAATTTTTTAATCTATCTGTGTGCAGACATAAGAGGATGTCAAAAGTTTAGATCATTCTATCATTATCCAAAAATTTCTTA